AGCAAGGTTCAGCATTAGGGGTGAGGAGATTGTTTGCTTCATGCATCAGAAGCTCTTTCAGTAAAAACATTTTTCAGTCTGCTTTACATTTATCTGTGGGACTTAATAGTCAGGAAAGTAATGCATACACTTGTATTTTCTTTTTTCTATTTCTTTTTACTTGCTGAAACTTTTATAGCAATCTTCTGTGTGTTTTCAGAGAGAGTAAACATAATAAAAATAATAATCCCAAATAATTAAAAGTTATACAGTACTGTAAAATGATAATAAAAAAGTACATTTTCAATCAGATTTAGCTTCTGATTTCTATACAGCACAAATACAATCAGCTTTTCTCTAGTAGAGACAGAAGCAAGAAATAGTGCAGTACCAGCTTTTATGTTATATGATTCAATAAAATTTGGAGGAAGCAGGAAATAATTTCTATTGTCCATAAGAAAGTTTCTAATTTAACTCTCAACCTTCTGAAATAGTATTCTCATACAAAATCTACTGCATGTCAATTTTGTTAGAATATAAGCTTATTGTGTATTTTTCAGGTTTTATTTTTGTTATATGTAATATATTTACATATATTTCTTTAAAAAAATAGCTGAGGCAGTAAGCAAATCTTTTCATGGATTATTTAAAAATGTATTCAGAAATGTCTCTGAAGTTTTAAAAATATATTACATAGTTGCTCTCTGCTATTGATTTTCTAGAAATATCATACACCTATGAAGTTTTATGATAATCAAGCCTGTCAGTAATGCAATTGGAAATGGTAATTGAAAGTGGTATCTTGCAAAGTACATTCTAGTATCTCATCTCTTGCTGTGGAGCTCCTGAAATGTGCATCTTGTTTGTGTTCCAAGCAATAGAAATCAAGACTGAAAGGCAGGGAGGGAAGGCACAAGGGAGGAAAAAAATACCTTTGGAATAAAATGCTTGGAAAGGCACTTCTTGTTCTGATCAGATTCTCCTGTTTATGTGAAATGGACTCATTTCTTGGAGGCACACAGTTTTATTACACAGCAGGAAAGAAGTGCTTGGGGATAATACCTGTTTCACATGCATGTCAGTATAATGAATGCTGCTATTGTTCTTCCCGCTACAGCCACCCACATGGTAAGGCAGTATGAACAAAATGAGGATTTATATAAATAGAGTTTTCGTTTTATGGAAAACCTGCTGATCCAATGGATTGAGCATCCTTTGCTTGCCACCCACTGCAGCACTGTAAGGCAAGATTTAACTTTGAATTTGCTTTTAACTTTCCCATGTGGAATTCCCCAGCCCTTGCTTTGGTTATTATAGTGGTATTTTGCCATTCTCTATGTAAACATTACTATCCTGAGTTGCATTGCTTTACAATACAGTAGCTGTCACATGTACCAGAGCCGGCTAAACACTGGTTAGCATTTCCTTTCCGTAGCTCGTCCTGAAACCTTTTGTAGTGTTGCCATTACAGAGGCTGTGATAAGTGATTCCCAGAACACTATCATGCCAGGATCCATGGCACTTTATTTCCCTAATGATTTCCAACAAGTCACAAGTAATGTCCCAGGAAAAACGATCACTTCTAACCTTCATAGTACGTTAATGGTGATGATGGTAGTGAAGGTGGGACAGGAAAAATCCTATGATTTGGTTCTCACATCATACTAAACTAATAATGTGATTTGTTTGGGGCTTAGCATGATGTACAGATGGAGGTGCATGAATAAGCTATGATTAGTTTTAGGTAATAAGCCACTGCTTGAAATGAAGCTTTCTTTTTTATTCTGTACGAATAAGAACCCAGAATTAACGTGATTCCTGACTGACGCCTTGTTTCTTTGTGCCCCGTCCAATCCTGTAATAATTTGCAGAGGATAAGGCAACAGCAGCTAAAGGAAGGCAGAAACAAGAAGTTGGACAAACAAGCCATAATTACTTCGCTCATCTGAAAAATGCTGGCATGCATCTGGCTTGTTCAGCAAGCCATGGTTTAAATACATCCAGTGAATATTGTTGATAGGATCCAACATATTTAACAAGAGTTTCATGGGTATACAAGACAGACTTGAAAGTATCATCACTTTTGAAGCTGCTGTTTGCCATTTCAGGTGGACCCTACCCTGGTGTAATAAACCTTTATTTGAAAGGTTTTGCTTGTTGAACCATTTGTTACTTAAGCACATGATCCAGGAAATGCTGGGCACAGAGAAATTGAAGCATTATTCCCCAGATTGCTGCCAGCCACTCTCTTCCTGATCCTCTTGTTGTAGACAAACAAAGCACTGGAATGTAATCATCCCCTCAAATTTGCCCAGTCCATTTGGGGCCCAGAGGCATTCTTGGAAACAAAGATGATGCTACAGGCCTGTACCTTGTTTTGCAGGGTGTTGGCTTTCTGTTTTTTGCATTAAAATGTCAGAACTCTGGAGGGATGACAAGCCCAGTGATGTCAAGGAAGGTGTAACTGAGTCCATTAGAGCTAGTAAACACCACACTGGGGATTCCAAACACAGAGAGCATCATTAGCACATTAGTACAGACTAGGTAAGAACCCATGCTGGCTGGGGAATTCTGGGAGTTGAAGTCCACCCATCTTAAAGTGCTGAGGTTGAGGAACCCTGCCCTAGA